GTGTTTATGCAAACAGGAAGCACCTGTAGAAAAAGACAGATCCTGGCATAATGAATAGCATTCTTTGTTTTTTTCCAGGCTGCTATGGAGTTTATTCATTTATTTATTTTTATTTATTTATTAAATTTCTCCCCCCCAATGGGGGAACTCTGGGTGACTCACACAGAACATTAAAACCATAAATATATATAAACACATAAAACATCAATTTAAAAACATTACTAAAAAAAAGAAAAGGAGAGTCCAAGAGATGTTCCCAATAATGTGTGCACTGACTCCTAGAAAGCAATCCTATGCTTGCCAGAATAGGGAATGAAGAGCCAGACGAAGCAGAAGACCTGTTTCACCATAAAGGTATCTAGCAGAACATCAGCCACATGTTACCAGAGGTTTTCCCCAATAGCAACTGTTATTGGGACCAAAACAGGGCATGCCAAGGACCTGTCTGAAGAGTGTTGGGCGAAGTAATGCGTTTGCAACATTCTAAGCCCCGTACTTTCCTGACCTGTCCCACAAGCAGCCACACAGATTACCTAGCCCTGATGTTAATGCAATGGATTCTGTCTCATCCTGGTCCCCCCTCCCACAACCAACCACTCCAGTCCTGCCTACAATGAAGTATCAGGGCTTTAGCTGGGGTGGCTGCTTGACCATAGACTCTTAGGACTACCAGGTCATTTTAGTTAAGCTCTGCTTAAGGACACAAAAAAGTGAATATTTTCAAGAGGAGCAAGAGGTATTTTTGTTCTTGTTCTTTATTTTTTCAGTTGATAGATATGAGCCAACTAGCAAGCCCGGATGCAGCTTGCATAAAACTCTTGCACATCTGCCCACATTCCCAGTGTTAACATTTCCACAAGGCCAGTTGCGGAAACCTCACAAGGTCTTATATGATCAACACATCATTTTATAGTTGGTGATTAAATGGAAATGAATGGTTCTCCATGAAATATTTTCCCTCCAAAGATCAGCTGTGCATGTGGGCCTTATTGGAGTTGTAGTACAAAACATCTTGAAGACACCAGGCTGCGTAAGGCTAGGACTAGTGTAATCAGCCCCAAACTGATGTGAGGCATTGGCCTCTGGGCTCTGCATCAATCGAATCTGGCTGGACTACTCAGTGGTTGGGTTTGAGCAGAATGCTAAACTGATTAAAACTGAGGTTGGGTGGTTTGGGGATGAGCGCTCTGTATGAATTCAGCTGATATCAGGTGTTAGGTGGATCTGATATGGTTAGTTAATACAGTACGTTTGATTCTTTTTCCACATATATGACCAAAATTTATGGATATACATGTATTTATTAACCAGGTTGAAAAAAACAGAGTCAGTTTCATTTTAAAAAAATGTAGAACACGTGGTGTTGGAAGTCACATCTGTTTATGTTTCATATGAAGCAAAACATTAACATGGAAACTAAAAATCAAAGTCAGACTGTTTTCTATTGTTGGTGGGTTTTTTCTGAATTCACAGCCAGCATTTATCTCTCAACAGGGAGTCAGAAGTTCTTAGTCTATGTTTGTTAAAGCTTCAGTGTCAGAGGACAAGGCTGTTTCTCTTCTCCAAGCCATTTCTATCCCCATCTTTTGCACAAATTTCTAATCAGCGGATATTTTCTTTGCCTGTTTTGTTGTGACTATATGCCAACCACTATATTCTAGGAAAATAACTCAGTGCTCCCCATCTATTCACAGATCTCAACGCTTTCCTCTATTTTTTCCTGAGGTTTTAAGATAAACAATTAAAGTTGCAATGATATGACTCATAATGCCTGTTTAGCTTGGGTACAATCAATTCTAAACTATTCTTGTTTCCCTGAATAGATAAATTAAAGATGTTCTCTACTATAATAAGGTATTAGTTACAACATTTTCTGATTAGAATAACACCAACTGAAAGAAAGAATCAAATATATGAATGAGGCAAAAACATGTATGGGAAATTGCAACTTCATTCCATAAAAGAATTCTGTGGATTATTCATATCATTGAGGTTTTTATTAATTTATCTTAAGGTCTCATTTCAGCCGCATAATTCAGCCAGAGCCAGGTCCATATTTTGGGGAGCATTTAGTAATGGTAAGATGCTGTCCACGCATCTACTTCCCTGTGTGTAAAATCTCCCCAGCATATTCAGATTAATGTAATTCTAATCCAGATCAAACTTTCATAAACTGATTTCTATGTCCAATCTGTCCAGTTTCCAGATTAATCTGTGAGTGGACTTGAACCTACTGTATGTCTTACCAGTCCTCATCCAAAACCTTAACCCTACACTTCATTTAATTCTTCCTCTGTAAGTTTATGAAACTTTTCTGCCAATCTTAGAAAAAGGAGCACAAAACTCTGATCATCTACAGTATATGCTGTATCAAGAGTAGCAACCTGAAGCTTTCCAGCTATTTTGTACCAGAGCTCTGAGTATCCCTGACTACTGATTATTATGAACAATATTAAGTTAATTAAGAGATAACTAATTACACATTGGGATTCAAGCTCCATGTAGAGGATTTGGTATTTGTGATATACTTTGGAGTAAGATGGTGAGAAAAAGAGACACTGCAACTTTGGGAAAAAGCTGTCTAAACTGATTATAAACTCCCACATACAATATGTAATGCACCCTGCTAGTGCCCTACAGCCCAGAAATACTATTCATATCCACATGGTGAATTCATAGCCAGTCTCCACCCTGAGCCCAGCACTGTTTCGTTGCCTTCAGTGTCTCCTTAGGGCTCCCTAGTCACAGCTCTATAGTTGAAGACATGGATTGCAGAAAGCCCTGTCTGAATTCTTCAGGATACAGCAGCACAGCCAGCCCCCAGCACAGCGTGCAGGGCTCGTTCTTCTGTTGTGCAAGAACATAAATTTCAATGGACTGATTGTGACTCATGTCCAAAAATAGGTAGGCCTGGCACCCCATTTGAGAGGGGTGGGAGCTGAAAAAGGAGAAAGAGATGCCTTAAATCTCTCCCTATTTTGCCCTATAACGCCCCCCCCCCTAAAAAATGCAAACAGGGAGGAATTTGAAGCCCTACCCATTCTAGGGGGGATTTGCAGGCACAAAAAAAGGGGTTCTGGAAGGCTGGACACAGGCTGTGGGAGATACTTTTTTTCACCCTTGTGGTTGAGGGGTGTGTGCTTTGAGGGGTCTACTGTCAAGAGACAGCACAGGTGGGCAAGGCTGTAGCCAAAGAAGAACAGTGGTATCGCTTTTCTTTTTCTTCCATTCATCCTCTTTCCTTCCCTTTCTTCTAACCCAGTTCTCTCTTTTTTTCTTGTTATCCCTTCCCCCACCCCCTCTGTTTCTACTTCTTCTCCCTCCTCAGCATTTTCTTTCCTGACCGGTAGATTCAATTCATTTGTTTGCAGAGGTCTTCTTCCCCAACCCATCCTTCTTTGATTTCACTGCCCATTTTAGCTGCTGAATCTTTCTTGCCCTTCTTTCCAAAGAACTGAACTGATTACTTGCAAAGGGATGTTTCTCCTCCTCACTCTCCATTTCTATCATAATAGTTTAGTCTCTTCCATTCTCACTTATGCTCCCCAGAGGGCTATTTCCATTTTGGCCCATAGATTCCCCATCCCTAGTTTAAAAGAAATGCCATTTTAATAAAAATGATGTAATTAAAACCTTTCTTCCCAGTAATATGGCAATTTTCATCCTATGGTTATCATTGATACTGCTAAGCTTTGCACATAAATATGATTTTCATGTTAATTATCCAGTCCATTCATTTTCTGCTTCTCTCTTGCAAATGTTGCAATAGTTTCAGCACAATATCTGCACTGTGGTTTGCTTGTCAGTATCTCCCAATCTAAAGCTGGTAGTTCAAGGCACATGACAATTACACCCACAAGGACAAAAGTGACATCTTGTGGTTAAATTCTCCTGAGTAACCATAACAAAAGTTGTGGTATTTCTGACGTGTTTCATCTACATGCATCTAGTAGCATAATCTCATTTTCTTCTGTCAATTCTGCCTAATCGGTGTGAGCATCAAAGCAGGCCTGTTATTAAAAAGCAGCATTTGAAAATAATAATAAAAAAGATTAAAGGCAACAGATCTTTAAAATAAGTGTCTTCTGTAAAATTCCAGCACTTTATGGTAAAGATCTAAATTAAATATCTGAAGATTTCAAAAGAGAAAAGGAAGGCAGACAGAAAAACAATCATGCTACTGCTACAACCACCACTTCATCTTATGAGGTGCTGGGAATATTGTCTGGGATTGTCCTCATACCTAGGAACTATTCTACCAAGTTTGGACACTTTCTCAACTGGCTCCCCTTCCATTAGCAGGATCCAGTCATTGTCCAATCCTCTGCTATCCCTGAATGAAATATGATTTCCATTCCTGGAAGCTTAGTTTGGATGCAAGTCATAATTCCTTGGCGCTACCCAGGACATGATGTGAATGTCATCGGTTTTTCTCTGACCACTGCAACCTGACTAAGTTAAGTGAAACCCTTTTGGAAGAGGAATATCTCCTGGGTCTTTTTATGCAGGGGAAGTGTATGTATTGGAAACAGTCAAACAGTTCCAAGGAACCAACCCAGCTCCCTGATCTGGGATCAGTTTACCTTGACAACTGTTGTTAGGGATGGAATTCCCCATCACATAACAACAGTAGACAGGGGGGATTGTTCCACAATGCCACTAAGACTTTGTTATGTCTCTTGGAACCCATAGTAGCTTAGACCCAGCATGACCTCAGTGATTCTCAACCAGGATGATGCAACAGCAACTGCGGGAACCTACACCTACAGTAGCCGTCCCCGAGCAGTGCCCAACAGAAAGCAGTATCGAGAACGCTATGTAAATAGTGTGCAGTAAGTAATTATACTTAACTTTACAGTCTTGGCCTCAACATCCAACTCCAGTATGAATCTGACTCAGCCTGATCAGGACTTCATCTCTGTATTCTTTTTCTTTTTTCCCCTCCCTTGCCAGTTTGCTACCTTCTGTTTTCAAACTCTAGCCCTGCATTCGCATTCGCATTAAGTCTGTCCTATAAAACACACTGTGGACTGTAATAAA